TAAACAATAAGCGCACACTGTAAAAAAATGTCAACAATTTTAAAATGTTTTCAGGTCAAAAATGTTGTTGAAAAATTCCTGACCAGCTCTACATAGGAATCAATTTGCTGTCAGCAATACACAGGATTTTACTTGTGCGTTTTCTCCCAGGCACTGTTACTATTACCATAACTGAGAAATGAAATTCACTCTTTAGTATGATAAAGAAATTTCACATAGGGGGGTTAACTAGGGAACATAAAACAGCAATTATACTTTCACGTGACTTCTTTTAGACCATGTACCTTGTTAGAGAAACCTCTGGGAGGGTCACACCAGAGTGCGCTGAATCTGCAGCTTCCACTTCCATCCTTCTGGAGCTTTTAAAAAACTTCATTCTTTTTCCATAGCTGTTTGCTTGAGAGTTAGAGGTTGTGTCAGATGATATGTATATTTTGTTTTGATTTAGATGGACTACATGAGCTAAAGATGTTAACATAAGCCAGTTACTGTCCAACATTAAACAATTAAACAATTAAACAACAATTAAACAAGGACCAGGGTTTAGTATACAGAGACTTCAACCTGCTTAGTACCATGGCAAACACACCATTAAAAATCCTTTTAACCTTTTATTAAAGATAAAGAAAAGAAGGAAAAACAATTAAAACATTTGAAATGTAATGTATTAAGCCTTCCATTTTAAGAACAGCCATTGTTCCCTTTACCTGCAGAGACATTTTAGAAGGAAAAGAGTCTTGTTTGATAGCTGGTCTTAGCTGGTATCAAAGACTGTAATAACTGTCCTTTTGGGGAAAAGAGAAGTTAGTTGAGATTGGATGGAGCCCGTTGTTGTTGCTGTTGTTTTTAAAGTCCTATCCCATTTTGTCACAGATGGTGTTTGGGATACACTTGGTAATGGTGGGAATGTCATCTGGATACCTCATGCTGGTCTGGGCTGGTCAGGACATGTTTCTGAATCAGGATGATGAAAGCCCCAGATCCCAGGAGTTGGTGGGGGTGGCAGCCATGACATTGAAGCTTGCTTCAATAGCTAATTTTTTCTCCCCAAAATTTCTTTCTTTAAGGACCCGTAAAGGGAATGGTGGGCTGAATAGTCCATTTCCTCATTATTTTGTCCACCAATTACGCCGAGTATCTGACACACCAATTTTGGTTCACTGATTTCTGGTTCCATACTTTTCTTGTTTACCAAGCATGATCTTCACACAGTGCTTGAGTTATATAGGCAGGCCTTTTTGTTTAGACTGAGTCTTTTTTATCTTCCTTTCATACCTTTTGCCATCAGCATTTGTTGTTAGAGGTTATTGTGACATCTTATGAACTTCCACACAATTTTTACAGTTGAGTTCACCATTAGGGTAAACTTGTAAGCCCAATTATTACAACCGTGTCGGTGTGTAAGTTAAGGGGAGCTATGGAAGGAGACTATCTCTGTCCCCCCATAACATTCAGAAACTCTTAAAACAAAATATATATCATCTTGATGTAACATTGCAATGTTACAACCTTTTATCCACCCAAAGACGAGACCTATCACAGCTGACATGATGAAGCCAGTTAAATTGTACGGAACACAGCTGCTTAGGGCAAGAGACTGGCCAGGCTGATGTGTGGGAGAGGGTTTGTATATATGTGTATACTGTGAGTGTACTTTTTGTGAGCCTGATCCTGCAGCTGGGTGGTCGTTTAACATGTGGGCGAGCAACAGAACTGGATCCTCTGCTAGGTCTGTGGTAATGTGCCATGCGTATGGCTTTAAAAACTCATTTTTTGTGGGATTGAACGTATCTGCAAGAGTATTTGTGTGGGCGTGCCTGTGGCTTCAGTTTGATATATATTTTTAGGGTGTGGTTTGGAGAGCTTGTCCCTGAAGCAGAGGTGAAAGTAAGCCGATACGGTACGGCATACCGGCAAGAGCCAGTACACAGCTGACCTTACCGGTAGGGGGCAGCTTCCCCAGGCCGGCAATTTAAAAGGGCGCTGGGCTCCCGGCTGTGGCCGGAGCCCCTGGCCCTTTAAATCACCGCCAGATCCCCGGGGCTCCCGGTTGCCACCACAGCTACAGTTACCGTGGGGCTATGGCGGTGATTTAAAGGGCCCAGGGCTCCTGGCCACCGCTACCGCAGCCAGAGCCCTGAGCCCTTTAAATCACTGCTGGAGTCCCGGGGTAGCAGTGGTGATTTAAAGGACCCTGGGATGCAAAGGCCCCGCCCCTTCTGCCCAAGCACGCCCCCCACTGCTCAGGACCCCGGGCCTGCGTACCAGTAAGTTCCTTAAGTTACTTTCACCCCTGTCCTGAAGGCTTGTGAACATAATATTTTAGTGGACAGTATGTGCATAAGAACACTCTGTTGAATAAAATGCTTTTTGGAATATCTACAAATTTACAGTCAATGTAAAACAAATAAATTGGATCCTCAGAGCTAAATATTTTTTCTTTTCCAAAAAAATAGCCCCCATCCCAGTTGATTATTCTATCTAGAGGAGGGAAGTTGACTCATTTATAATTAATAGAAAAATTCAGCTTTACATCTGTGCATATGACTGTGACTTCCATGCCTGCTTCTCTCAGTTTATTGATAAATAATGTTCTGGTTGCACTCAGTGCTTTGCAAGGATGGTGGTTTCCAACTGCCTTTTAATCAGCTCTGTAGACCAGTTTAATCAATTACAATGTGCAGTTTTGAAGTGGGTCAGTCTGTTAGCAAAAGAAAATTTTTTGTTTTAATAAACATTTTTCTAAATAAATCAGTGAATTGAGTGCTGTTAAAAGGTACTCAGCCAATAGCCCTAGAAACTGAAATTCTCTCTACTTTATCTCACAACAGGGGAAGCAGCAGTGCAGGTTTCCACACAACAATGACCAACAAGGGACTACTTACAGAGTACTTCAATCACTGGCCTCTCTGATGTGACTGCCAAATTGTTCACAGTTGGCACTATCTGTCCATTGGGACCTGAACAGAGATCACCATCTTACACAGTTGTAATCAGCCTCCTCTGATGTGTTCTCCCACAATCCCACAGCTGCCATTGGCTGCCTTCTATGGGGTCACCAGTACGACTGCTGGGGTGTAGTTGGTGACTATATTTCCGCCCTCCAGCTCCAATACAATTACACTGATGCTGTCAGTCATGGTTCTGGGATGTGGCATAGGAGAAAGGACTGATTTATCATTAATGATTTTTGTAAGGCACAAAGAAAATAGGCATAAATAATCCAAAGAGAGATAAGAAGAGGAACCTATGAGCTTTGGGAAGAAGAATGTTGAGGTATTCACATCTGCAGTTGCAGTTCAGAGCTTCTTGCATAAATATGAGGGCACAGGGTACAGTGATTTCTGCCACTGCTCTAATCTCACTTCAGGCCTGAATTCTTATCTGGAGTCTCTCGGGATCAAATCTGAACAAGAGTTACATTGTCATGTTGGGAAGAAGGTTGGGAAGTCTTGGTAAAACAGAATATACAAGCCCCTATTAATATTAAATACGAGGCATGTGAATTTGAGTGACATGACCATTATTTTACATTTCCCCCAGTTTTCACATGGCTGGGAAGTGTGATACAAGTTGCCTAAGGGCTTGAACAGGAAGGAAATATTTTGTTTCATTCCACTGATTTTTGCCATGAGCTTTGAAGACTAGAGAGGTGTATTCATACTCTTTCATACATCTGTATTTGGAATCTTGAACTGGATCCCTTTCTAGCTTTCTTACAGGTGAGGGAGTTATTACCGTATTTTTTCAAAAGACCTGTTGTGGGGGAACAGTACATAGCAGGAGCTCTCTGGCAACCAAGATAAAAAAAATCTACTCAGTGTGATGCAGAATTTCAGTTCTTTTTCTCCGTACAGGTATGGGAATATCTCAAGAAGCCTTTTGGACAAGAATGTCTGAAAAGTGGTCTTAAAACCATGCCACAAAACAAGGCAGTGCTCTTCATGACGGCGATTCTTCCTTACAATGTCTTTCACTATAAACATTGCAATGGGTCCCAGATCTGGAATGGGACCCCGGGCATTAGGGTAATGCAAATAATAAAATCAATAATTCTGTGAACGTCAATGAAGTACTCCCAAGTATTTTCTGTAAGGCTGGGTAAATAGGGCAGCTGCACATCTGCTTACATTGTGGTAACTGTATCTTTGCAAAAGAAATGTCAGAAACATAATTTCTTTATTGTTTAATTAAAGCTTACAATATGCAGAATGCACCCAAATTGTAGAGAGTTTTCAGAATGGTAAGATCCGCGATTCCCCACCCAGACAACAGTTTTCTCCTGTTCTGAATGTTAATGAGTTTTCCTCTAAGGGGAAGAGGAGAGGGGTTTGATCTGTGCATTTCAACGGGACAGAATCCCTTCAGATAGATTGTCCTAGATAGTTTTCCCCAACAATGTCCAAGTTCCTGGTGAGTAGCAGAGCTGCTAAATTGTGTTAGATGTTTGCAGTATCCCATAACTCAAATGGTTTTTCCTCAAACTTTCCAGAAATAATTCACCTCTGGGCTGAGACCAGGCATGGACAATTCAGCCTAAAGGAAATATTTTTCAGAACCTGATGAGTGTGTGAAAACAAGATCTTATAATAAAGTCACATTCATGCCTTCAATGATAGCTTTATCTCCAAAATCAGTCGGCAACACTGGCAATCATCTAAAGCAAGGCCACTCGTATGCCCAGCTTCCCGGTTCGATTCTCCGAGGGTGTAATTTATATACCTTTCTTGCAGTTAAACCCTCTTCTTATGAATAAATAATAGAAATTGGAACATTACTAGAGCTTCAAAACCCTGAGCTCTTGGGCTTCAACTACTCACAGAGAGCAGCTGCTGCCATCTCTCACCATCTCACATTGAATTCATTTCATTTCACAGACTGATTGCACCTAGGGATGTGAGTGACAATGATCTTAAATTCCAAAGGATCTGACCAGCTTATGTGTGTCTCTCTTGTAATCCAGGTGGTTGTTTATTTTGTGCATATTCTTCTTGTTCCAGATGTCCCTGTTGAGAAACTTTCTTCAATGGAGTCACTGCAGAGTGTAAATCTGAAGTCAAATCCCCTGAACGAGGAGGTCCGGGTGATTGCCAGGCCGCTGATAAAATTTGACCTCCTGGTGTCTCCAAAGGGAGCACATGCTGCTCCTCCGCAAGCCTGAAACACTGACTTTGGTTGCATGGACTTGGTGTGACTTCATTTGAGAATGGTTTTAAAGGGAAAGCTAGGGGATCCGGTTGCAGGGCATGCTGATCTAGAATGGCTCCACCAGCTTTTGTATCACTCCTGCGTGTGTGAGGTTTTGTAGATGTGAGGAGTGGGATGGGGAGGATTGTGTGGGGGTGGGAGGGGTGTTTCAGAATCAGTATTTCATTGCTAGAGAGTGAATCTGCTTATTGTTATTTCTTTTCAGCTGTCTAAAATACACAGAACACAAAAATGCACTGAGGCCCTAGTAAATTGCTATTTGATAAAGGAATAAATCTGTGAAAAGATTAAACTTCCAGGGCAACAGAAGGGAAAGTGCAATGCAGAAATAGATCAGGTAAGACACTCAATCTCCTGAGTGTATTTTCTATGCACCAAACAAAACGAGAAATAGTCTCACAGCAGAGCCTTCTGCAATGAGTCTGACAAGGAAGAGACCTATTAAAAGAATAACACTTTGCTTCAGCAGAGATCAATGTAATAGCCTACTCCATTCCTGTATCACTCAAAGCCCTGTTATTCAGGGCGAAGTATGGTATGGAGCAGAAGAGTGGTGGAGAGAGGCTCTGTCCCATGAATAATGGGAAAGCACTTGTTTACAGAGCCTTGCTGGTCCAGGATTGAATGAAAATACTCTGTGGATGGACTTTTCTTTTCAACTAGTTAGAGCTTGGTGGCTTTCCCCTAGGATCTAAGCCAGCTGTTATATGGAGCATATTAACTGGGCACCTCTATGAGCATCAAAACAAGACACTAAAACTTGTCTTACAGTACAGAGGTCCTCTTGGAAAAAATATCCTATCTACAGACAACTCCTTTTCTTCTTCTCGTTCTACATTCAGCATTTGATTGAAAAGGCATAACGATCACCCCCTCTTCCATCCCCCCCGCTTTTTTTTTTGACAGATTTGTTGATTTTGTCCAAGATAAATAATTTCTGTTCAGCCTCCTAGGGCTTGTCTTCACTGCAAAGTTAACTCAACTTATAATTTGAATGTTGCCGTTAGCTTAAAGTCCCATCCACACGCACAAACTCTTTACTGAAGTGTGGTGGTACTTTTAAGTCAAGTTGGCTGCCCTGAGAGGGAAGGTATAGGGCAAAACTCAAGTGAGCACAATTCATCAGTTGCTAACATAGGCTAGCTCCACTCGAGTGCCAGCAGTTCTCCAATGGCTTCCCACAATTCCTTCCCTGTGCCCAGAAAGGACAGAAAAGTTATCTCACAATTTAGTGGAAAATAATTCACAGAATGGCTTATTTTACTACATCACTTAGAACCATGGATTGTGTGTGTCCCCAGCCATCTTAGTGCCACACGCTAGTGAGTGCAGCTCCAGAGTGCCTACAACAGCTCAAGCGTTATATCGCAGTGAGCTAGGCTTGCTTGAGAGGAGTAACTCAAGTGTAGGTAATTTGATATACTCCTAATGTAATCCTGTTGGCTGGCAGTGCATCGACATTAACAAGAGCAGGGGTGAAGGAATGTTCAAACATGTTTGAAAACCTGTGGTTTCTGCATGTCACTCCAGGATATGTTAGTTCTGGTTTTAGTGATCTCTCTGAGTGTGTCCTGTCATGAGCTGCTCACTGCTTCTCCCTTGTTCACATGGTAGATATATTTTGCTTGAATAGATTTTAACCTAGTTTCCTGTTGATGGGGATCAAGAGAGAATCGGGTGAATGGAGGAACCAGAAAATGTAACTTGCTGGTGAGAAATGATCTCTGGTGGTTGGCAGCTTCCCCCTGCACTCCGCAGCCCTTCCTGCACCCCAACCCCCTGCCCTGAGCCCCCTGCTGAACTCCTCCACCCTAACCCCCTGCCCTGAGCCCCAAATCCCCTGCCCTGAGCCCCCTGCCGCACCCTGCACTCCTTCTGCACCCCAACCCCCTGCCCGGAGCCCCCAACTCCCTCCCTTGAGCCCCCACCGCACTCTGCACTTCTCCTGCACCCTAACCCCCTTCCTGAGCCCCCGCCACACCCTCACCCTCATGCACCCCAGCTCCCTGCCCTGAGCCCCCAACCCCCTGCTCTGAGCCCCCTCCCACACTCCGCACCCCCTCCTGCATCCCAACCCCTCCCCTGAGCCCCTGATACACCCTGCACCCTTCCCGCACCAAACTCCCTGCCCCAGCCCTATGGTCATGGCCCTGCCTGCAATTTCCCCACCCAGATGTGGCCCTCTGGCCAAAAAGTTTGCCCACCCCTGCACTAGACCCACTAGACTCGTTTTCTAGCTTTTTCCAAGGTCAACTATGCTTACAGGCTGCTGCTTGGCCTCTCAGTCTGCTGGCTCTGTTTCCAGCTTGTCTTTTTTACTTACACAAACACACACACATACACCCAGTCAAACACTCCATCCACAGGGTGCTAGTTTCTGGGCAGACGCTGTTGGGCCTTGTTTTTGGTGTGGCCCCTTACGTGTTTCTTACCACGCACAGTTTGTGCAGGGTGAGTTGACATATGAGTTTGAACAAGGTTTTAACTCAGCCCCTAACAAGATTTCACCCAGCTCATACCTTATAAATGGGGAAACACTCATTTCATTGGGGGTACATTTACGTCCTTACTGCTCACTTCATCTCTAAAAGGTTGGCTGCTTTCAAATATTGGTATTCGGGGCAAGTTGAGTACAAGGGTTTGTTATTCTAGACCCACCTTATTCACAATGAAACTTTACTTTGAAATAAAATCGGTGGTTGGTTTAGTAACATCGGCCGATCAGTAGAAGCAGTGATATTGATTCCTAAAGCTCTCCTGCCAAAAAGTAATTTTCATTTAATCAGCATGTGAAATGTCAAGTGTCAGAATAAATATACCCTTGGGCTACATCTCTTGTATGCTCACCTCCTAGAGAGCAGTTTTGTTCTTCCCATCTGGCCTTCCTTGGTTATAAAACTGATTCCTTTAACCAGCTGCTACATCCTGAGAACCGGACGTTCTTTTTTGCTCTGGCTTTGAAATCCATATTACCTGTGCTTTCTTTTTGAAAACCATGATCTTGAGTCCAAGTTCCTGACTTAAGAAGTGGTGTGTGCACGTTTGAATATAATGCTGTATGTTAATTCAGGATTTTTTCATGATGGCACACTGATGTCAGAGAAACACAGCCGGCTCTAGGATTTTTGCCGCCACAAGCAAAAAAAAATTTTTTGGCCACCCCCGCTTTTTTTTGTGCCCCTCCCCCCGCCTCAACTCCGCCCCTTCCCCAAATCCCCAGCCCCGCCTCCTCCCCCGGGCATGCCACATTCCCCCCCCCATTGCTTCCTGCAGCTCCCCCCCACAACCCTCCACCCTAGCTCACCTCCACTCCGCTTCTCCGCCCCCTCAGGCAAGGGAGAGGCAGCGTGTTCAGGGGAGCAGGCGGAGCGGAGGGGAGCGAGGGGGAGGGAGCGCAGGAAGTAACGGGGGGGGTAGAGGAACCGCTCCCTGCCCCAGCTCACCTCCACTCCGCCCCTGCCGCCTCCCCCAAGCGCTCCGCCACTCGGCTTCTCCTCCCTTCCTCCCTCCCTCCCTCCCAGGCTTGCCGCACCAAACAGCTGTTTGGCGTGCAGCAAGCCTGGGCAGGCGGGGGGAGAAGCGGAGCAGCGGCAGCGCGCTCAGGGGAGCAGGCGGGAGCGGAGGGGAGCTGGGGCAGCGTGGCCAGTGCCAGAATGCCGCCCCTAGAAATGTGGTGCTCCAGGCACCTGTTTGTTTTGCTGGTGCCTAGAGCCGGCCCTGCAGAGAAATTAACATCGTATTACTTCAGTTACAGAGATGATTGGAATATTGTCGCATGTTATTTCAGATTCCATGACATGGTACATCCATAAAAAAAGAGCATAGAGGAATATGACAGGTTCACAAGATATTTGCAGGGTCTGATCATTTAAAACTCATTGCATATCACAGGCCATTTACCTAATTAGTAATAAAAAAACAGACTACTCATGTGTTTGAGGTTTAAACATACAACAGAATATGCACCAGGGAGTTCCCTATTGGTGGCTGATACCTTATCTAGGAACCCTGTTGATCATCTAGATTCTTCAAAGGCTCTCAAAGACACAGAAACACACATGGGTGCCATATTGAGTGGCCTGCCAACCTCACTACAGAAATCAGAATTGATTCAAATAGTTGCTAGTGATGATACACAACTGCAAATGGTATCAGATGTTACTTAGCAGAAGTCCCAGATCCAGCCCTTGCCTTCTGTCCATAGTGAGGAGAACTCTATGAAGATCTGAGGCTCTATGCTGATTGTACAGAAGCCCACAATCCTTGCAGGATCACATGAAGGAAGAGATCCAGGAGGGACACCAATGCTTCAGAAAGCACTGGTGTGTGAGTGGCCACCCACTTAGGGGTGCACCTAAAACTCAAAGTAGAATCATGCAAATCTTGCACCAGAAAAACTCAACTCAAAGAATCTTTTCCACCAGGAAGAAAAGGGCCCATGGGTACCTGGTAGCCTTTAGCTATTTCTCTAGGTTTATAGAAATTCTACTTTTCACTAGACACACAAGCCAACAAATCACAGAATAGTTAAAATGCACTTTTTATTATTTTGGCACTTGGAAGAAAGCCACTGGCCATGGACCACAGTTTGCTAGTTCTAAATTCCAAGCTTTTGGGCTACGGTGTGATGTTAAGCATATTAATTCTTCCAACAAGGGAATGAACTTGCTGAAGGAACAAAACAGATTGTTGAGAGAATTCTACACCAAAAAGATCCCATATTAGATTTCTGTGCTGTAGGCCAACTCCCACCACATTAACACAACAATGACCAGCGTAAGCCCAGCTCATCTTCTTATGGATTGATAGATTAGATCAATGCTCCCAGTCTATATGGCATATCTTTAGCTTAATGGCTCTTCTTAAAGATGTGAAGCTGAGAGATACCAAATCTGTGAGATCTCATGCTTTCTTTGTTAGTTGTTGGACTGCAGCCCAAAACTTAAACCAGGAGACTTAGTCCTGATAAAACTGAATGAGTAAAAATATTGGCCAACAGCTGTTGTCACTGGACACAGCTGTGCCCCAAGATCCTACATGGATAAGACAGATCAAGGCACTTAGTGTGGAAGAAACAGGTAGAATATTCAGCAGGTAGCAAACCCAGTTTGGGTCCGTTATGGGCTTGATGCTGAAATCACTGGGTGGAATTCTATGGCCTGTGTTATTCAGGACATCAGACCAGATGATCATAATGGTCCCTTCTAGCCTTCAAGTCTCTGAATTAGTTGAACTGCTGTGTGACTCCACTAACAATGGTATTCACACCACCAGCTGTGTGAAGGCTGAGCAAAATCCTTCATAATCTAAGAAAATAAACTGGACAAAACCCTCCTCAAGGCCAGAGGATGATCGGATTTGGATGAGCTGTGAAGCAACTGACTCAAACTGATCTACAATTTTATTTTTAAAGATTTTCCAGAAAAAAGAGGGACAAGATATGAAGATGTCTGCATGGTTTGTTTAAAATTCTAGCAGGAACCAGGCAGAATAAGGCTAGGTGAGGGCTCTAGACAGGAGCTCTACAGTGACAGAAGCAGATTAGATTTAGGGATGACATCATTTTCCTTCCTCAAATAGTTTCTTATTCAGTATGAAAAGAAAGTGACTTTTGGTGATTCTTTACTGTTACCACATGACAGAATCATCAGTGCCATCAAAACTTAGGTAATTAAATGTGAAAAGCATCTTGGGTATTTTTGCTTTCTCTTTTTTTAACCTTTCAAAGAAAGTAAGTCTCAGAACTGAAAGATGCCTAGTTTAATGGGGGCAGGACATGGGAGCCCTTCAAGAAAATTGTGGATCCACCCTCAATCTAGAGGCTTGGCAGCTTTTGTGAACAGGTACACATTTACAAAGCACCAGAAATTAAAGTAAAAGATTGCTGCTGACCTGCTGGGCCCTTGGGGCAACAAAAGTCACCATTGGCCTATCCTATTCTTTTGTCTACTGTGCATTCAATAGCTGATAAGTCTTGAACGCTGCCTCAGCTGCCTGATATACACTGGAAAGTAGAACAAGGAAAGAATTTCCCAATCCCAAGGAGCACTTTCATTTTTATCTAAACTGATAAATGATGTATTTTCTCTGTGGATAAACAAACATATCTGCATGGAGGCATCATGGGGAATGGTTTTACAAAAGGGCCGGGCAAGACAGCTCTGTTTGAGTGAAATTGTGAGCTTTAATCCTAATTGGATAAAGGCCTTATTTGTTTTCTGTATATGCATGCTTTACAGTGACTTTCCCTTTATCTTTGCTTTTTGAGGCTGAATTGTTTGTTTGCTCTGTGGATCAGAGCTAAAGAACACTTTGGCCATTTCAGAGGTGATGAAGGATGCACTAAGTCACCCAACTACAAGGGAAAATACCATTTCCAACTGAAGCACCTCTAGTGCACTCCCCAAAAGGGTCCCAATGAGAGAGGCTGCTCCTTTGTTTGGTCCAGGAGCCCTAACTGTGGAATTCTTTACTACTTCAGACTCTAATGTCCCATTAAAAGTAACTTCTGTTGGCTGAATTTCTTTCTTTTGGACAGCCCTAGTGGTAGCACATTGGATTTGATTTCTCATCTCTGCCTAACCTGGTGGATGGCAGCAGCTGTGCAATATTGTATGAGCAGCACTTTCTTGTCCTTGGGATGGCAACTCATGTCATTCAACAGCAATTCCTTCAGTCAGTCGACTTGGACTGAGATGAGTTGCTTCAAAAGAGGTCTGCTCTTCCTTGGCTGAAAGGACAGTAACCACAACGTAGAGTCGCAAAGGAAAGGAGTCTGAAGAAGGGGAAAGTAAAGGAGAACCTTGTAGTGAAAGGATGTAATGTGGGTTCAGTAATTGGTTACAATTGGTATTTCCCATCTGTCTTGTGTGATGTTCTGAGAATCTCTGTGACCCGGGGTGCCCAGGGTAGCCCTCACTGCCAAGGTCAGGACAGGCTGCAAAAGGGGGAGCAGATATTCCCAAGACTAGTGGGTAACACTGAAGTTAAACTCCCCAACCAGTCACAGACTGTGCTTCTGATCCCCCACACTGGTTATTAAGAAGCAAAAAGAGAAATCACACAGCCCCCTTTATTGCATTCCAGTTCTCTGGCTCCCAGTCAGCCCATAGGTCCAGTACAGGGAGAAGTTATTTAAAAAACTCTGCTCACATATGTAAAGTGTTCTGACCCCAAAGGGTCAGCCACGTTACCAGATCTGTATAGATTTGGATCTTACCCAAAATACCATGCTCCCAGCCAATCCCTTAGTGTCTAAAACTAAAGGTTTATTATAAAGGGAAAAAAAAGAACAAGAAGAGAGACGTTAAATGGTAAAAGAGTCACATACATACAAAGACTTCAAAATCCATCAGGTTCCTAGCAGTATTGGTGAGCTTGCTGGATTGAAAATCCCTCTGGAACACATCCACAGTTTGGATGGGTCATTTAGTCCTTTGTTCAAAACTTCATTTGTAGAAAGGTTACTCCAGAGGTAAGAAGCAGGAATGAAGACAAGAAGCAGGACCAAAAAACAAAATGGAGAAGATCCAGCTGCCTTTTAAATGCCTTTTGCCATGCAGCTTGTATTTCCTTTTTTCCAAACACAAGCTGCCCAGCACATGGCCTGGAAACCTTAGAGTTCTGTCCATAGGCATGCCCCTGCATGTCTTGCTGAATAATAAGGTATAGCCCTTTACCCTTTCAATGGGTTCATCGTACAGTTGATTTCCTTGATGAGCCATCAAGCAGGCTAAGCAGTGCTGATGCCAAACTCTATGGGGGTGTCAGCCAGAAGCATAGCACAAGTTTGAAACACAGACATATGTACATATCTATAACTCATCATACAAAGGTGATACAAACATATAAACAAGATTATCACACTTGGCAAATGAGAACATTTTTGCAGATACCTTACAAGGCATATCTGGCACAGCTCATTGCAAATTTTACAATATTGGTGTTCATAATATCCTAAAGCGTCCCCCAAATTCCATACAGAGTCACAACCTCCTCCCTGTGTCTACTGATGGAAACGTGCAGACTGTGCTGTGGTGGGAGGTGCTGTGGTTCCATCTGAAAGTCAGTACCACAGAAGTGATGGGCCTGGACACTGGGGCAGCACGGGGGCTGTGTTTTGTGCTTTGTACCAAAGACGTGACGCAGCAGCTAAGCAACTTGTTCTGGCTCCTTGTTTAGTTCTGCTCTGTGAAGACAGTTTGTAGCTAGTTTATGTGCTGTTACCAAGCTAGTTCTGTATGGCAAAGCACAACTTTTCACAGGCTGAACAAAGCCAGTAGCTCTTACAGAGATTTTATTTGGTGACAAAGAAATGATGGGTTGTTTTTTTAAAATAAAACCTTAGAATCCAGGTTTCAGAGTAGCAGCCGTGTTAGTCTGTATTCGCAAAAAGAACAGGAGGACTTGTGGCACCTTAGAGACTAACCAATTTATTTGAGCATGAGCTTTCGTGAGCTACAGCTCACTTCATCGGATGCATAAAGTGGAAACCCCCCCATCCCACTTTCCTGCTGGTAATAGCTCATCTTAAGTGATCACTCTCCTTACAATGTATATTTTTTCATGGTCTGTGTGTATATAAAATCTCCTTACTGTACTTTCCACTTTATGCATCCGATGAAATGAGCTGTAGCTCACGAAAGCTTATGCTCAAATAAATTGGTTAGTCTCTAAGGTGCCACAAGTCCTCCTTTCCTTAGAATCCAGTTGACATTCTCCTTCAAGTTTGGGAGAGAGGAAGGACTCTAAAGACATAGATCAAATTTTGCATCTCAACTACTTGACTGTTATTTGTGCATCACAGTTTTATTTCCTGCTAGAAACTTGTTTAAAAAAAACCAAACAAGCACTAAATGGTGTAGGTGCTCTTTGAACCGCAGGCAAAATATTGATGATTCTAAATCCATTCCAAGACCAATAAATATTATTTTAAACTCCAATAGGATGTTTGTTTTTTTAACACTCTTGGACAGAGAGGGGAAAAATTTAATTTGGCCATGAGGAAAATGTTAGTTGACTTTTAGTTTTGTGGTTTTATCATTTAAGCCATTGCTGACACATTATAAAGTCCCACATTATAATGGCCCACCTTGATTACCATGCACATTGTAGGGAGAGTGGTCACTTTGGATGAGCTATTACCAGCAGGAGAGTGAGTTTGTGTGTATGGGGGTGGGGGGGGGTGAGAAAACCTGGATTTGTGCTGGAAATGGCCCACCTTGATTATCATGCACATTGTAGGGAGAGTGGTCACTTTGGATGAGCTATTACCAGCAGGAGAGTGAGTTTGTGTGTATGGGGGTGGGGGGGGGTGAGAAAACCTGGATTTGTGCTGGAAATGGCCCACCTTGATTATCATGCACATTGTAGGGAGAGTGGTCACTTTGGATAAGCTATTACGAGCAGGAGAGTGAGTTTGTGGGGGGTGGGGGGGAGGGTGAGAAAACCTGGATTTGTGCTGGAAATGGCCCAACTTGATGATCCCTTTAGATAAGCTATTACCAGCAGGAGAGTGAGTTTGTGTGTGTATGGGGGTGGGGGAGTGAGAAAACCTGGATTTGTGCTGGAAATGGCCCACCTTGATTATCATGCACATTGTAGGGAGAGTGGTCACTTTGGATAAGCTATTACCAGCAGGAGAGTGAGTTTGTGTGTGTGGTTTTTGGAGGGGGGTGAGGGAGCGAGAGAACCTGGATTTGTGCAGGAAATGGCCCACCTTGATTATCATACACATTGTGAAGGGAGTGCTCACTTTGGATGGGCTATTACCAGCAGGAGAGTGAGTTTGTGGGGGGGGGGGGGCGGAGGGTGAGAAAACCTGGATTTGTGCTGGAAATGGCCCACCTGTTGATCACTTTAGATAAGCTATTACCAGCAGGACAGTGGGGTGGGAAGAGGTATTGTTTCATGGTCTCTGTGTGTATATAATGTCTTCTGCAGTTTCCACGGTATGCATCCGATGAAGTGAGCTGTAGCTCACGAAAGCTCATGCTCAAATAAATTGGTTAGTCTCTAAGGTGCCACAAGTACTCCTTTTCTTTTTGCGAATACAGACTAACACGGCTGTTACTCTGAAACCTGTCATTATAAAGTCCTTTCATGCTGTGGTTTTAGAATATGGGTAGGAGTGAGAGAAGCAGCCTGAAGGAGTAGCCAAGATTGCATCCTGTGCAATTATAGAACAAAAAGAGCAGAGTCCTGGAACCGTTGATCCTTATTAATTATTTTTTTCCTACTGCAAAGTCAGTTTTCTAAAGCGAAGACTAGCTTAGGGACTGTTGTATAATAGTCTTTGTTGGATACTGGCAACTCTTAGCCTTTAGCCTAGGGCTGTCAATTAATTGCAGTTAAAGCAAGCAATTAATGCAAAACAAATTAACGCATTTTTAACGAGAGTTAATCGCACACCTCTCTTTTGATCTTCACTTACTGTACTTCATCGTTTGGCGGACATTGGCACAGTTCTACTGTGTTCTCATGATCTAGAGTGATTAAATATCAGAAAAAGTTAGTGGAGCAAAGCAGCAAAAGTTTAGGTCTTCTGAAAGGGAAGGTTTTTTATTTTTTTTTTATTTTTAAAAAACTTCCAGATGGTTCTCTGGATAAAAAGACTGTTATCTGTAGCTATTGCAAGGCTGAGTTCCAATCCCATCAAAGTACTTCAAGTCTGCAGTACCGCCCCCCGCTAAACATGCTTTCACCTCCCGTTCTTGTGCTACAGATAACCCACTGACAGCAAATGAATCCCACCAGTCGTGACAGAGTACACTTACAAAGTTTGAGGCTCTCTATAAGTAGGGTAACCGGATAGCAAGTGTAAAATATCAGGACAGGGGGTAGGGGGTAATAGGTGCCTATATAAGAAAAAGCCCCCAAAATTGGGACTGTCCCTATAAAATTGGGACATATGGTCACCCTATCTATAACCTCATGGATCAAACAAAGTATAACAGCGTAACCAATGCTATTGCAAAGTGATTAGCTATGGACTGCAGACCACTTAACATTGTAAACGACAGAGGGCTAAGAGATATTATTCAAATTGCATCTTCCAATCAGTCATAAACCTTGCCCTCCCGAGGAACCATTGCATAACAAATACATGACCTATATCACAAGGAGAAGACTACAAGTTTGGAGCTTCTGAGAAATGCACTAGCTGTTGCTTTGACTGGTGATTACAGAACATCCTTGAGCAATCGCAGCTATCTTGGAGTCACGGCACATCTGATTGATGCTGCATGGACATTGCAGTCGTTTGATTTAACAGTAACATATACAAAAGCGAGACATTATCCTGAAACATATGCGGAGCATTTCTTGGATGTTGCAAAAGAATGAAATATTCAAAAAAAGGTGACAACAATTAGTACTGACAGTCCACGTAATGTGATAGCAGTAGCCAGTCGTTTGCCTTTTGAATATAACATTCATCACTCACAGTCTGCAGCGATCCATTACAGTAGCACTTGCCGCTCAGTGCTGACAGTTTTGAAAACATGCTGGCAAAATGTAGAAAACTTGTGGGCCGTTTCAAACTCAGTCCACCTAACAGTACAGAGCTAGAAATGCAACAAGCCACAAATGGGCAGAAACAAGAACCTCTTTTACAAGATATTTCAACTAGATGAAACTCCACATTGGCTGTGGTTCAGCACCTGCTTAGAAATAAAGCCACTATCACAGCCATGTTAGCTCTTCAAAAGCACAATCTATCAGTGCTGACAGGTAGTGATATTGAAGCATGAAGGGGCATATGAATGTTTTAGGATATCTGGTACATAAATACCTTGCAATACCGGCTACAACAGTACCATGCGAACACCTGTTCTCACTTTCAGGTGACATTGCAAATAAGAAGCGGGCAGCATTATCTCCCAGAAATGTAAATAAACATGTTTGTCTTAGCAATTGGCTGAACAAGAAGTAGGACTGAGTGGACTAGTAGGCTCTAACGATTTACAGTGTTTTGTTTTTGAATGCAGTTATATAAAAAAAATCTACATTTGTAAGTTACACTTTCATGATAAAGAGATTGCACTACAGTACTTGTATGAGGTGAACTGAAAAATACTATTTCTTTTGTTTATCTTTTTTACAGTGCATATATTTGTAATCAAAAATAATATAAAGTGAGCACTGTACACTTTGTATTCTGTGTTACTGAAATCAATATATTTGAAAATGTAGAAAAACATCCAAAAATATTTATAATAAATTTAAATTGGTATTCTGATTAACAGTGTGATTAAAACTGCTATTAATCATGGCTATTTTTTTTAATCTTGCAATTAATATGTGATTTATTTTTTTTAATCATTTGGCAGCCCTACTTCAGCTTTGTGCCTTCTTCTGCTCCCACAGCATCTGGTTATCTCACAACAACGCCATGGCCCTGTAATGTGCTGTTCACATTTAAGCTGTTATACGAAGTGATAGCTGCTGCTGTCCTCAATGCATTTCCCAGTCAGCAAGTGCTCTCAGATTATGGGCAAAGAAAGGTATAAATTTACAAAATTAGTCCTTGAGCTGAGTCGGGAAAATATTGTGAGGGTGGCTGTCTGTTAAGCTTTGGTGATACAGTAGACAAAGGAGGAAATTGAATAAGTAAGCACAGCATTTGCAGTTATATTTTTTCTGCTTGACTGTCTGCATTTAGTAGCATTTAAATAGTGAACATTAGACTCCACACTATCAATGGGGCTTTTAGCCATAAAGTTTATATTTCAGTTTTAGCCCCATCTAAAGTTGCATTAGCAGAATCTGTGAGAGCTGGTAGGATCTCAACACAAGGCATTATGGCTCAAGCTCAGTAGCAGTAGGAGAGGGCAGCAGCAGCCATCTCAGTCAAATTCATCCTAACTCCTCCTGCTCCCTAGCTGAGATTTGCTATGGAGAATAATAGGCAAAAACACCTGCTGCTGTGTGTGGCCAAGTTACTGTGAACTAATGTTCACCACCAGCTCTGCCCTTCCACCAATCTCCCTGACTATAATCACTGAACAGCACTGCTGTTCTGGAAGTCAGAGAGCAGAAACCCCAGCAGCTTCAAGAGAGCTGGAACCTGAAGACACCACCAACCCTAACCTCCCAACCCCCAGCTGTAACTGAAGAGGGAAGGTGCCATCGAATAGGAACACTAAGAGCAGAGTGCCCCAGCCAAAGCCCTATTATCAGACACATCAAACCAAAAAACCTGAGTCATCTACAACAGCTACAGAACCAAAGCTAGTCAACCAAAAGGGTAATGTGAGAACATATCCCCTATGACGCTACTATGGCTTTCATTCTGCAGCTCTGATTTTCAACAGAAGCACCTGTCTAGTATGGTAATGAGCACTGTAGAAAACAATGGTAAACAGATCAGCTAGCAGAATGATAACAATGGCTGGATCAGTCCTAACCCCTCTCCCTCCTATCAACTCCAGAAACCGTCAGGGTTGCCAAGATTTTCTCCATCTCAAACCTTCATATCACTCTGCTGGTTTCTCAAGAGAGCTCCCTTTTTCACCCCACCTGCCTTTCCCATGTGTTAGTTACCTGATATCCTGAAGATGAATCCATAATAAGACCATCAGTTTCATTTATAGCGCTTATTCTGCTGAAAGAATTTTTTAAAAATTGATTCCTGCTGAAAAAGAACCCAAAAGCTCAAAAGCCCTGTTAAATCTTGGGAGAATTAGGACCTGAAATTAAACACAGGAGCTGCTTAACGTACGGACAATTTTCAAGAATTGATTAAAATTCATCTTCTCCCTGACAGTCACCGTGTCGCTACAGAAATTCAAATGTCTGAATGAAGGAAAATCGTGAGGACCAGATCTTAGTTGGTATAATCAGCATCGTTCCACCGAAGTCCATTTTCACCAGGGAGTAGATCTTGGAAATCCATTATCTGAACTGTTCTTTATTGATCTTTGTATATGATGTCCATTAACATACTATCTGGGCACCCAGTTACTCTCCCATTGTGACGTGATATCTCAGTAATAAGGCCTCTGTTGGATACTAAATGCTGGAAGGAGAAAAGCAGGAGAGACCAAAGAAATATGCATGTTTAATACTAGGCTGGCTCAACATTCCTCACACTGCTTGTGATCATCGGCTGGTGTATGTCAGTGTAACCCCATTACTGTCAATGGAGCTATGTTGATTTACATCAGCAGAGGGTCTGACCCCTTATGTTTTCACAGATAAAAGAATGAGCTCACTTTTTGGCATCAATATGTCAGAGTTACTATAGCAAGGGGAAAACTGAGTTAGTCCAATTATAATTTAGTTAGGGGGGGAAAGTTGACAAGCCTTTCATGTCTCCTGCATTTTGAAAATTGCTGTATAATAGATTGATATGGTCCCTAGATTCTGGTCATCATATAGAGATGTGTACTGCTTCCAATGGCTAGCTGGAAAGCT